TATTAAAGATAATGTCAATAGCTTCTTTTAGGTAGTCAATATTCCTAATCTAAATATTAACTTATACATTTCATTAGCTTTGAATTGCATTGATAAATAATAAATGCAATTCAAAGCTAATGAAATGTATATTTATCACTATGTCGAATAGATATGTGCTAGCTTAAGTTTTGCATGTTAATGAGTACCAATAATTTCTCTTAACAATGTTCCATGCATATTTGCACACTTTTCTACTTTTTCTATTATAATATAATTTAACTCCGTTTTCACTGCTTCCCAAAGATCCACTTTGCTTGTAGAGTATTTTATGTCTATAAAACGTTTAATAGTATTTATTTTGGATTTATATCTCTGAGTCTTGAAATGTTTCCATCAATCCGATTATTATTTTAAATCTAGCACCCGGTTCGTATCACATTATCCATGATAGTCGTTTTCGTGGCGTTACACGAGCTGATATTCTTAAGCAATTGTGAAGCGATCTTGTCGCATTCCTTCAGCCAATTTGGGTAGCAAGTCTTACATATATTGAATTATATCCGACCATCTATCTCTTCCCAATCCCTATTCGGAATCAATAGTTAGCGATAAGGTATAAATGAAAGTTGAGTGCCGCTTATAAGTGTTATATTTCTTTTATTCTATCTTATACAAAACCTATTTTCTTTTACATCAGACTGGTCTACTTTGTAAAGGCGAAGAGGCAAAGAAGAGAGAAACGTGGCGGAAGTTGGGAGGAGCTTATTTATATCATGACGACTAAGTTAAAGATGAACGAAAAAGAAAACGAAACAAAGCAAAAATGTCTACGTTCGGTTAAGAACTATCAGAAAGCCCAAGGTAAGATGTCAGAAAAAGACATCCTCATTATCATTGCCGTCTTCGTCGTTTTTATCAACATGTCGAGCAGTTCGAATTTGCTTAATTTAAGCTATAACAATTCCTTCGTTTGTTAATACGGTTATGTTCACCTATTTTATAGTCTCAACAGCAATTCACTTTCTGAGTTACTCGTCTCTAAATCTATTTTTTTCATATTCAGCATTGGTTGCGATTTACCGTTGGTCTTAAATTGAAACTGAACTTGACACCTCTCTCGAATTAGCACGAACAACATACTGCAGGACATGTTTTTTTTTTAATACTCATTTAAAACTATTCCTAAACTACTGATCTGACTGTATCGGTTAGAGCTCTCAGGGGCAATCACCCCACCCGTATTCAGATGGGATATGAAATACCTACCAGAACATCAATGTGAAAATCATTCGTAAAAAAAAAAAATATAATTTTTGTGAATATTTTTAATCATTTCAGTCCAAAAAAGGCGGGAAAGCCACTAGTACGCAGGTTGCTACAGGGAATGAAGTGATAAAAAAAAAGACTGAGTATAGGGAGGATTAAGGAAAGGACAAAAGATGAACGGGATTCAAGAAGATGGAAGATGGCGACTGATGTTGCATTTAAATTTTTGATGATAGTAGGTGTTATGGGATCTTGCCCATAATAATAATAATAATGAACTGTTCCATATTTAATAAATATTGCGCCTCAGGAGTAGGCAAGTGAGTCAGTAGTTCAAGCGGAGTCAGTAGTTCAACCTGATTGTTCATACTAACACTTTTACTTTTCTGTATATATTCATGTTTGTAATATATCCGTGTTATTCCATACCTGTGTTTGCGTTCTTCTTTATTGGTTCTACCTTGCACTATCACCGTGGTACAAGGAACCGGACAATAACAGTAGGGAAGCAAGTAAACGGAAGGGAGTTGCACAGGTGGGAAGCACAGAAAAAAAAAACTGGTAGAGGAGAATTGGCGTTTGCATTTAGCTATTTCAACAGTAAACGAATTAGACATAGATGTCAAACTAATAACACACTTAAATTCATGCAGTCTGTGCACCAGAGATAAAAGCTTGTCAGAGCAGTTGCCATGCAAATATTTGTACAAATACTGAGAGAAGCCACGTCACATCGGTGAGAAAGTGACTGAAGTCGAGATGCTATGTCTCGAATGGTTACATTACTGGTCGTTCTTTGGAATTTGTCAAGAATCTTGAGATGAATACCAGGAGCACCAGACCAGATATGGTAACAGTATTTAATGTACGGACGAATGTTACCTTTGTAAAAGATGGATTCCGACGAGAAAAATTTTCTCCGTCACGACACAGTGACCCAACATTCCTTGCAGTTGATGTAGCTATTGATTCAATGTAGCCCCTCCACTTGAAGTCAACGAAAAAACGTGGGGCTAAGACGGCAGTGTGTGTTGCTTTCATGACAAATAGCGACAACCATGCTGATTACAGACAGAAAAGTTTCTCTAGTATGTTTAATACATCCAAATATGCTTCTCATTCAGAAATTCCTTATTAGGTAGGGTCGGGTTGCGTCCAGATCATATTGAAACCACCGTTTTCATACAATCACTGAAGTTAAGCAACGCCGATACTATCAGTACCTAGATGGGTGACCGTTTGGTAATACCAGTTGCTGTAAACATGGTTGTCTGTATGGTTTAATGGATAACGCTCCAGAATTGGTGATCGAAGTTCCGAGTTCAAATTCCATTTGTGTTCGTTATATTCGTTTAAACGCAAACACCCTTAGAAAAACCTATTCTTCCCCCATCTATTGGTTAAATAATAGGACTTACCAGTAAATCTAAAAAATATATCGTGACATTAAGTAACCTACAAAAGCTTGATAAACCGTAAAATATAGATAAATGAAATCAATCAATCGATAAGTTCGTTTGGTTAATTTCAATGCCTTCTAGCCCTATTTGTATCATCAATTATATTACAGGGGGAGCAAACGATCTCATCTCTCACAATTATAGTCAATTTTTCTGTCGTTAAAACTGGTATCCATCGCCACTGTGGTTACTGTCATATTTGTAAATGCATATTTGATTTGGTAATACACAATCGCCACCATGAATTCTATACTTGTATTTATTTACCTGTATATTTATTTGTATATATATATATATATATATATATATATATTTCCTGTTTATATATCTATCATGGCAGACAATTTATCTGACCATAGGTTTGGGCGTAAGATATGTTTTGTAAATCAGGGGTCGGTGACCATTTCTATCTATGTGCCAACGTAGGGTTTTAAATTCATTCAGTGTACCAAGAGCGTATGCATTTTTATACAAGTCAAACTCAGTAACCATTTTCTACAATATATTTTATATAGTAATATATAGTATATATATACTTTAGTGTATATTAAAACTGAAATAAATATCCTTTGTGAATTGTGGTCCCTGTGGTAGTTATTAGTTTGGAATTCGTGATGTCATTTACGGCTGGGTGCTATTGCAAATTACTTGGCGTGCCACATGTGTACGCGTGCCGTAGGTTATCAACCCCTGCTGTAGAATGTTAAGAAACGTCGGCATGCCTTAATAGACATTTAACATTTCTTTATTTTGATTATTAGAAAAAAAAACATCTTGTCTAATATCTTAAATTTTTATTTATTTATCTTGACAGTATCGTTGACATTGATTTCAAGTTGAATTTTTATGGTTATAATGCTAGACCAAAGCACGTCCAACTTTCTACCCTTTTTATCTTTCAGTTGAAATAGGAAACAGTTTGTTGTATGTATGTTTTATAAAATGCTTTCATTTTTCAAAACATGATCAATAGACATGCAAACTAGACGAGGGTTAATACATCTTCCGTTTCAAATTTAGACACCCCCACCTTTCCCTGACTTGACATCTATGAAAGTAACTCTATACTGATACTTATTATTAGCACCCAACACTCGCCTACCCAATTTAAACAATTCGCACGAGCTGTTACCATGGAAATTTTGATTTCAATTTTTAAAACACGTAAATTTCAGAAATACGTTATTCCAAAAAAAATTTCGCTTGAAGATGGAACAGAGCTCACTTTAACTAAATTTAATTTAAATAATTATATTGAAGTTTTCGGCTCTTGTTTTGAAACATAAGACTTATGTCGCGTTTTGAAATCATTTTTTTAAAAATAAATAATATATATATATATATATATATATATATATATATATATATATATATATGAATGAATGTGTGTGGCTGTCTTGTTAAATACGACTGACAAGGTACTGCGTGTAGCACTTTTGAAAACAATTTTGGGACACAAAGTGTGTCAAAACTGTCCAAATACGTTACACCTACCCGACCATACCTCAATTAACGCTCATTTAACCAAACGGAAACCTACAAAAATATATGCGAAATACTAGTACAATAGATTCAGCCACATGTATAAAAAGGTAAAAAATAACGAATCCCTAATAATAAAAAAAGCAAAAGGCAACACTCAATAACATTAAATACGAACATGAGCGAGTTTAAGAAAACAGAACATTCCTATAATTTGAAACATATACATTAAACCTACACATTCATTTCAAAATATAAACAAGTAAACATCTCCCTTGGCAATGGCTAAAAGAATCCCCAAAAGAGATATGGAGAACATTTAGACAAGTATTTTTATACACATTCTATCCAGAAAAAGAAACACTTATATAAACACAAACTTAATCACAGTATTTTACTGTCGTTTTTCTTAACTAAACAGGTATAAAAAGAGCATTTGGAAATATATATATTTAACCGTTTCACACCAAGCAAGGCGGAAAGCCACTAAAACGCAAGATGTTACAGAAAATTTGGAGCAAGATCAGATAGGAGTGATAGAAGAAAGGATGAGGAGAAGGATAGTGGGTAGATCAAGGAAACTGGAGATGTCGACTGACATTACATTTGAAAAGCTGGAGATTATAGCTCTCAGGGAAACTGGAATAGGGATGGGAGTTCCACAGAGAAGAGACGGCTACATTTAGGAGTTTCGACAGTGAAGGGCTGAGAGCGGGATGCCAGCCTCGTAGGGTGCTTGAACTCATGAAGTCTGGGAACCAGCGAATGCAGCTCCTCGGAGCAATTGCCATGAAAGTATTTGTAAAAAAGTCAGAGAGAGGCGACGGCGCGTCTGTGAGAAAGTGACTCTAGACGAGATGCCATATCAGGGCCAATTATATTGCATATCCGCCTCTGGAGCCTATCAAGAACCCCGAGGCAAAGAGAAGGGCTCCAGACTATATATGGCAGCAATACTCCATGCAAGGGCGAATTGTTGATTTGTAGATCTGGAGGATCGATTCGGGAGAAAAATTTCCTGGCACGGGGGCAACTTTCCTTGGGAGCCAACTTTCCTTGCGATATATATATATATATATATATATATATAATAGTCTCAAACAGTAATATTCCATGGTTATAATTTATTACATTGGAATCTGTAATCACAAATCCAGATTATCAGACTTACAAATATAAATTCTTTGAATTTGTAGGTCTGAAGAACTGGATTGGATTTGATTCAATGTAATAAATTATATCCATGGATGTTTACTATTTGATATATTATATATATATATATATATATATATATATATATATATATATATATATATATTGACCTCTAATATTATCTATCTATCTGTCTATCTATATATATATAGAGAGAGAGATAAAGAACGCGAGTTATGGATAGATAGATAGATAGATAGATAGATAGATAGATAGATAGATGTGTTATGTGAGCCAGCCCATATCCATCTATCGATCTAAATGTTCATATATGTTTGTGTTGCAAAAGAAATACATTTTTTAAACTCATTCTGTTTATTATTAATTTCCGGTCTTTTTTTAATTTCATTTCTATAATGTATGTCGGGCTCCTCACAAGGGATGAATGGTGTGGTGACCCGTGTAGCAACGAGTACCCTCTTAACTCCAGTAAGGACCATAATTCTGAATATTAATCTCTCTGAAACACACAGCAAATAAAGAAAGACAAAAGATTAACAAAGGCAATAAAGGCAAGTACATTTATTTGTATTACAGAGAGTTTCAATAGAACGAAAGAAAAGAAAATAAGAATATCACCTGTATATATCCGACCACCTGATATATATATATATATATATATTGTTGTGGTAGGATCCACCTAATTTTGCATAGTGGAGTATAAATATGGTTGGTACCGGGAAGAGAGTGAGGAATCAAGAGATTCAACCAGAGACTCTGCCCGACTGCGACTCAGTCAACACATTCTCCAGGAACGGTCTTACCAGGAATATACAAAAGACTATATGTAAATATTGTGTACACTTTATTGTTTCAATACAGTTTGTTCTAAGTACATTTTGTGTTGCATTATTATTCCATGCATTATTCAAGTTTCAAACATATATATATATATATATATATATATATATATATATATATATATATATATATAAGACAAATACTAAAATAAGAATGTTTTTCTGGAAATAAGTTGATCGATCGATATAAACTGCTCAAACTGTTTGACTATAATGCGTCTGATTTGTATTCTAAACACTGTGAGGTGTTTCCTCTTGGCTTCAGAATTTGACCTTTGACCACCTGCGAAGCAATATTAGTAAAACATAAAGATATTACACACCTCAAAACCAAATAACTGGCTAACAATGACATTTAAATAAAACAAACACTAATGGAATCAATTTTTTTTCTCTCTCTGTTTCTTTTTGTATTTTCTGGACTAAAATAAGTGTAAACAACATATCGTCCGGCGAGATATGAAATATGCGGGAAAAGAGCATTTCTTTTAGTTCTTTTGTGTTTTCCTTTATGCTATTTGCTTATTATATTTATTTTTAGGAAACATGTGCAGAGCAGCTGTTTTTAAAGTGTGTATTCCTTTCAAGAAAAAAACATATTGAAAAACTCGATGGCTTCGTGATGTATACATTTTCTGGAGAAAATTTATATATATATATATATATATATATATATATATATATATATATATATATATATATATGTTTGCATGTATTAACATATATAGAGATGTGTATATATATATATATATATATATATATATATATATATATATATATATATATATAATATATATATATACATACATCTATAAATATGGTAATACATATATATATATGATATATATATATGTTATGTTAATACATACATTCATATATATATATATATATATATATATATATATAGATGTGTGTATATATATATATGTCTATATATACTCTTTTTATATATTTAGGTTAATACATACATTCATATATATATGTTATGTTAATTCATATATTTATATATATATATTAACATATATATATAGATGATGTCTCTCTCTCTCTCTATATATATATATATATATATATACATCTATATATGCATTTATGTATATATATATATATATATAAAATATATATATATATATATATATATATGCATATACATATTTAGAGATGGGAGAGATAGAGAGAGATAAATAGGTGTATGCGTGTGTATGTATATACAAATGATGATATTGGAAGATGAAAAACAGAGAGGAAGTTAATCTTTTGAAAGTAAACGAATTTAATTCAAAATGAGACGAGATGACGACGAAATGGCAGAAATGACGTGGCATAAATGATGCGGAAGGGAAAGATGAAGGATAAATCAAGACAAAAGAAGGTCAAAGAATGAGATGCTGAACGGAAAACTGCAAATAGAACTAGAACGACTAGAAAGACAGGGACATTAAAAAGCTGAATGAAAGAAACAGAAAAGCGACAGAAGTTACAGTATATAATATGAAGAAGAAGATGAAAGAAAATAGATGATGATGATGAAGAAGAAGAAGAAGAACAAGAAGTAAAAGAAGAACATGAAAAAGACGAAAAAGATGATAAAAAAGTAGATGAAGAAAAAGAAGATGATGACGAAGGAAAAGATAATGATGTTGAAGAAGTTGTAGACGAAGTTGAAGAAGTTTATGAAGATGAAGACGAAGAAGCTGACAAATGAACATGATCCTCATGAAGAAGAAGGTGAATAAAAAGAAGAAGAAAAGGGGATAAAGAACAAACGAAAGAGATTGAGATGAAGAAGAAGATGTGGATGTTGAAGATGATGTTGACGGAGCAGAAGAGGATGAGAAAAAGTAGATTAGGATGAAATGATGATGAAAAATATGGATATGAAGAAAAAAATGATGATGAAAAAGAAGAATTAGATGATGAAACATTAGAAGAAGAAGAAGAAGACGAAGAAGAAGAAGAAGAAGAAGAAGAAGATGATGATGATGATGATGATGATGATGAAGAAGAAATATTTCTTGAATTACCGTCATAAATCATGAACTACTCTCTTTTGATCGCGAGGAAATACGGAAAGGACATATCAGAAAGAAAGAAAAGTATGGGAAGATAGAGGAGTTCATAGCACTTTCACGTGGTTATCGTCTGCTGCAATGGAAGAAAAAAACTTGCTAATTTCATATGTTTTTTGTTCTCTCTTACATCTTTAAATAGTGACCTCAGTTATGATTGTTATTGAAACATTTTGATTAAGACGCTGAGTTCAGATATTTAACGAAAAATTTACACAGATATTTCATAGTCTTTGAATTAGCAAGGGACTTATTGAATCATTAACATAAGAATTAATTTTTATCAGCGAATTCAAATAGCAAAACCGTGAAATAATCACGCATGTTACCTATCTCTAATTGTTTCTGGGTCTAGTCCTTTTGTGTTTGCTTGAGTTTTATCTTGTAGATGTTAGAAAATCTAGGACTTGTTTGCATAAACCTTTACTTTCCTTACAGAAATCAGGTTTGTTAGATCCAGGAAACATTGTGGTCATTTTATGCCACAACGTGAGAATTTATTCCTTCTCCTCAAAAATTGCCCGAGAAGGTAGCTTATGGGTCTTGCTGTTTGAGCTGTCGACCTACATTGTTCGGCGGGAAAAAAGGTTGATTCTTTTAAAAAGGTGACGCCCGAGAAATCCGAACATGAAGAGATTGCCTTTGAGTTGATGTGCTCGTATCTTCTTCGATAATCTTCTTTAATATCTCAAATTCACTTTCGTTCCAAAATGATACGCCACTTCGTAGAAGGTCAATGACCGAAACTTTAAGCCCAAAAATCGAAGGATCTCTTACATCGTAATGGCGACGATGTGCTCATGGAGTTTGAATTATTCTTCCTTGGTTTCGATAGAAATATGTCACGATTTGTATTCCTTTTTCAGTCGTCTATTTTTACAAAGTGATCTTTATAAAATGCATGAAATAAACCTGAGAGAATTTAATAAAAAATTTATTAAACTTTCATAATTTTTGATTACATTTGGTCCACCTTCTGTAATGTCATAGACATGAACAACGTTTCGGCCATTGTATGCTGGGGCTTTCTTCAGTTGATATTTGTTGGAATTTCGAATCGAACGCATTCTTTAGTCCATGGGGTTAGATTATTCTATTTTCACGTAACATGTACTTGAAAATCTCAGTTTTATTTAATTGTACTTAATAACTTTCTAAGTTTTTGTTCTTGCTACAATAATTAATCTCAGAAATATAGACAAATTAATATCTACTCGGAAACGACTAAATTCTTATAGACTTGCATTTAAACGACAACTATATTTTCCCCAACTAATTAAATGCTTATAAATACAAAAATAAACGGTCAAGATTTACATTACACTGAACCAAATACTTATAGATTGAAATATAGGGGAAAAAAATACACAAGACTGAACAGAAGTAAAGAAGACATGTTGCAAAATCCACTAGCTAACGAAATCAATAAGTCGTCACCTGAGATTAGAAATTTTCTATTTGTGATTTTCGTGTTTTGGAGTAATGACATGTGGTATATCCTCTCTGCAACACCCTCTACACCCTCTTAAATTCTGTAAAAACACTTCCTTTAATCTCGAGAAAATTATTGTTGAAAAAAAAATTATATATATCAGGTTTTGGAATAAAATTCAAAGTTTCAAAAGGTTCTTTTTACAATTCACGAATCAAAATGTTTTATATTTGTATTCCATACACACACACAAAAAAAATTGCAGATATAGACTTTATCCAAACCCTTGCATTAAAA